CCCCTCCAGATCTAAGTTCCAGGCTTTGGAACATAGACCTTTCGCCCGTCATATGTCGTGAGCATCCAGAGTCCAGGTACCATGATTGGTGTCTGGATTTTGCTGCTAAGGATATCTGCAACAGGTATTATTTTGCTTTTAGGTACCCAAATCTTCTTGGGTCCTTTGGGGTTAGATGTTCTGTGGTTTTGCCTAAACTTCTGTTTTTCAACATAGTGTTTATTCTGGCTAACCCTTGGCTTAAACACATAAGTACTCTTTTCAGAGCTTGTATGTTTAATATCATTCAGATGACCAAACTTGAAATGAGAATACAAAGGAGTCTTCTTGATGAAGAGTTTATCAACAGACTTTGGATTGCTTCCAGAGGAGGATTCACATCCAATGCCTCTTCTGTTGTTCCCACTAACACCATAGATCATAGAAGCCATTTTGCTTCTGTCTATGCTTTTAGTGAGAAATCTTCTAAAACTGGAGTCATATTTTTCTAAAATATTTTCACTAGACTCTGTTTCAGTATCAGATTCTTGTTGAGTTGTTTCTAAATCATTTTTGAGTTTTAAATTTATTTCTTTCTGCTCAACAAGTTCTGTTCTCAGAAGATTAATCTCAGATTCAAGATTGCTTTTCAGCTTCTTGTATTTGAGTTTAATCTTGCTGTAGCTTTCCATCATGTCAGATAAACTTTCAACAAGTTCAGCTCTGGAGAGTTCAGAAAATACCTCTTCAGAGTCAGAGTCTGATTCTGACTTAGATTCAGATGATGACGTTCCTTCATCTTGATCATCTGTGTTGGCCATCAGCGCAACATTTGCACATTCTTCCTCAGATTCAGAAGATGATTCAGATTCATCTGAGTCATCCCATGTAGCCATCAGAACCTTTTTCTTTTTGTCAAACTTCCTTTTGGGTTTTTCCTTTTGAAGTTTGGGACATTCACTCTTGTAGTGTCCAGGTTCTTTACATTCAAAACAAGTGATCTCTTTCTTGCCAGATCTTCTGTGTCCAGAAGATTCTTTCTTTTGATCAGATCTTCTGAAGTTGTTGAACTTCTTCCCTTTGTGCTTCCAGAGTTTGTTGATCCTTCTGGACAGCATTGATAGTTCATCTTCTTCTTCAGAAGAAGATTCCTCAGAGCTTTCTTCATTAACCTGCAAGGCTTTAACAGATTTGTTAGATTTAAAAGCTAAGGATTTACCTTTATCTTTCTTCTGGGGTTCATCTTCCTCCAGCTCAATCTCATGACTTCTCAAAGAACTGATGAGTTCTTCTAATGAGATTTTGTTCAGATCCTTGGCCAGCTTCAATGCAGTCACCATAGGTCTCCATTTGGTAGGAAGACTTCTGATGATCTTCTTGACATGATCAGATGTTGAGTAGCCCTTGTCCAGAACTTTCAACCCAGCTGTTAGAATCTGAAATCTGGAAAACATAGTCTCAATGTTCTCAGATTCTTCCATTTTGAACGCTTCATACTTCTGTATCAGCGCCAGAGCCTTTGTTTCTTTCACCTGAGAATTTCCCTCATGAGTCATTTTGAGAGACTCAAACATATCATGAGCAGTTTCTCTGTTGGTAATTTTCTCATACTCTGTATGCGAGATTGCATTCAGAAGTATGGTTCTGGCTTTGTGATGATTCTTGAATTCTTTCTTCTGCTCCTCAGTCATTGATTTTCTATCAATCTTTTTGCCATCCTTAGTAGGATGTTCATACCCATCAATGACTAAATCCCAGAGATCAGCATCATACCCCAAGAAAAAACTTTCAAGTCTATCCTTCCAATAATCAAATTTTTCTCCATCAAACATTGGAGGTTTGGTGCTGATTCTGTCTCCTTCATATTTGTTGCTTGATGTAGGAATATCACCCATATTAGCAACCAAATAAATAACAGAGTATTTTTCTCACTGGATCTTTATCTGTCACGGTTAAGCGAATGCACACTCAGAACCGGAGCTCTGATGCCAACTGAAGGTGAGAAAATACTTAGAAGGGGGGGTTGAATAAGTATGACAGAAAATAATCAAAGATAAAAACACAAGTATTTTTATCCTGGTTCGTTGAACTCAACTACTCCAGTCCACCCTTTTTAAGAGTGATTTGCCTTTCTCAACAAGGACTTAATCCACTATTCAAATCAACTGATTACAAATAGCACACCTAAGAACAACTGTTCTTAGTCTTCTTAAGAGCTACTGATCTAACCTAGATCCTCTTAAGGAAAACTTTCTTTACAAATTAATGTAATACAATGAAAGAGTAAGAAATGCTTCTATGAAAGCTATAAACACAACTGTGTTATTTCTCTAAGTTTAGAACAATGTATGAACAGTGAAGAATATGAGAGCTTTTAGCGTGAGAGAGTTCTTGCAATAAGTTCGTCAATATCGTCTTAATTCGGCACTTGAAGAATGAGCTATGATGTCCTTTATATAGCCACTTGAATATTGGAGAGAATATTTTACCGTTAGAGAAAATATTTCCAATATCAAAATAGTACTGTCCTTTGTACTATTACAGCAGAGAGACGGCGCACAAATAGTGGGTGTAGCAATTGTCTGCTGAGCTGTGATTTTACCATATAAGGAATGTACCAGAGGAATAATATTCTTGCAGAGAATTTTGTCTATCCCAATTAAGGAAAGATTTGCTGGCATATTCCAACGGATATATTAAAATAATCTTCTTCAAATAATTCTTCAAATAGTTCAGATCAACAATCAATATCAGAGTCTTCAGTCTTCAGAACCTTCTGGAAACTTCAGAGCCTAATATGTTCTTCAGATGTTGATGAATCAGAGTCTGGTGCAGCTGTGTGCTTGAAGCGTAACATGCTCTTAGATCAGAGTCTTCACTCAGATCAGAGTCTTCTCACTCAGAGTCTCTTCACTCAGAGTCTTCTTTCATTCAGATTCTTGATAATACATGCAGCGTGTTGTATCTTCAGAATCTTGATGACTAAGCTCTTATACTTCAGATTCTTCTAATCTTCAGATGCTCTTGAGCCATTCAGAATTCATTGTTCACATCAAATTTGCTCTTTAAGATTAAAATCTTTTGTGCCTGTAGAAAACAGTTTAGAACAAATTTAGAGAGTATAATTCTTGTATACAAATTATCATTAATGTTATCATCAAAACATAGAGATATTACTAAGACACAATCTGTGCTCTTACACCAACATCAGTCAATACATAAACTTCTGATCAAGAGAGCAGATTAAACAGAATATAACAGAATGATAAATAACACATAATATGATGACCCAGTTCGGTGAACAACAACACTTACATCTGGGGTCTACCAAGCCAGAAATGAATTCACTATTAGTAGTAATAATTTGGTGCTAAACTCTCACATTTACAACTCCTCACTTAATCCCTACCCAATACAATTCTATCTAGAAAACACCATCTAGATAAGAGAAACTTATCTCAATGCCTAAATCACAACCTGTGATACCTAACAGTTACTACATCCTGTAACTGCATCATTCTGATCAATAATCAGTCAAGACTTTTGACTGACAAACAATTCATGGATTTGTTTTAAAGCTTCATCCAAGAACAATACACAATTCATTACCTCACGACTTCTGGATTTGTAAATATATGTCTACCACAATGCATCAATTGATACAAAGGGTGACTTACAACACAAGAAATTACTCGACTTTCAAAACCCTAAATCCTTATTTTCTACTTTACAAAAGTCTTAATAAGAATTATTTACTCTTCCCTAGGTCTAGGTCTTCCTTTTATAACCATAAAGACGACTGGATTTGGGCATCAAAAACGCAGTAATTCTGTTCCTCCGAATATGTAAAATATTCTCCTCAAGAATAGTTTCTTCAATCCTAAGTTTCTTAAAGTGTTGCCACACTTAAAAACAACATCTTCAAATTACAATCAGAATCTCTGATTCCTCAATCTTGGACGCCACCTAGGAAAAACAAACAATCTTCTGCAATCTGAATTTAAATTAACAAATTCAAACCATATTTAAAAACTGTAACAGACAAAGATGTTGATTAACCCTGTTAGGACATCTTTTCAAAACATCTTGTTCTTCAAGTTCTGCTACATGTTAGGATATCTTGTCCAACATGTTTCTGTCAGGTTTGTTTTACCAAAATTAATGTCAATCAAAAACTAAGGAGCCTTAAAAAAAAAGAGGAAAAACAATCTATTTTGCTCTCTTATCTGCTAGGCAATTTGAATCCTATAAAAACTAAGATTATTGTAGTTCTGCCACAGTACAACAAAAAATAAAGACCTTAGTGATCCGTAATTGATCGTGTATCTATTGATATTGCTTAGATTGAGTGTAAAATAATACTACACTTAATGCATTATCTGATAAATGAGAGAAACACTAACCATTTGAGTGATACACATTGAGATCATGATCATGATGAATAATTGACTATTGATCTAAACTTGTTTTAAAAGCATACTTTGATAAAACAAAATTTTCATCTTCATGCTATAGTTTATGAATTCTTATAATGTTGATCATGAACTTGCTTTTGAAGAAAAATCATGTCATACTTCAAAGCTCTTTCAAAAATTTCTTGATCAAGTCTTGAAACCTTACATAAAATATGCATATCAAAATTTCCTGAATTATTTGTATTAGTTTTTGTTTAAGGACAAATAAAATGATAAGTTGGGGAGAATGAATAAGTGTTAAAAATATGTAAATCCATAAACATTTATTAACTTATTTTGAAAGCAAGCAACATACTTAAACATCTATTAATATATTTTATTCTACAAACGTGCAAATATTACACATTAGGAAAACAATTGAGTTACTCCAAACTTACATAATTTCTCTCTACTAACTATCACCCAAAAAATTAAACTTGCTTTTACCTACCTTATATCAACTAGCCAGTAATTGTATTGCAAAATGCTTCATAACTATGAGTTAATCAATATGACAAAACACTTAGAAAATAATTTCTCAACAAGAAAACAAAGACTATATTTTTTTCAATCTTCCTTTTCATCATGCTCATATTTATCTTCACTTGGTTGAAAGAGTAACTCCATACTATTTCCACTACTACTGCCTGAATTGAACATTGCATCCGCCATCTCGGCCACCGCGTATTCAACGCCAAATCTTGGATTAGAGGCTCCACCGATACCACCTCCTTCCCCTAGGTCGATATTCAACGAAGTCCGCCACCTCTCGGAGAAAATGGTAGTTTGAGTTTGAGTAGTAGCATTAGGGTTTGCAAGTAGGTTTGGTGGTGGTGGATAGGATGATGGTGCTGTTAAGGATTTGTGACAAATGTGTTCACCTCTATATGTTACTTCAACTATGTTAGGATTGTCATCAAGCCTTTGCACTTGCTTCTTGGCTGGACATAGGTATAATTTTTGGTGTGTGCATCTATAGTAACTTCTGAAAAATGAAAAAAAAAAAAAACATTTCAAATTTAGATTTCAGTGCTTATTCAATGTGATAATTTTATTCTTTTTATTTTCACTTTTTATTTATTTATTTATGCTATATTTGTGATTAAAAAGGTGATAGTTGTCCTTTATGAAATCAATTTGGTAAGCCAGCAGAGAATATTATTCATGAATGTGAAAGGACATATGAAGTCAACATGTTCTATATATGGTGTATGATTATGTCAATTCATAGGGTACACTTGTTTTGTTTTACTGAATTTTCAATGTTAGAAAGAAATCATAGAAGAAAAGTATAAGGTTTTCTTGATGGTGCATTGTGGAAGAAAAAAGTGTAGCTGCAATTCTATTGAAACTTTCAAACTTTTTATGCATTCATCCTTGGATTGAAGTTGAAGTGTTAAACAATGACACAAAAAAATTAAAATTATATTTTAAAAAAAAGAACAAATGCATTAGTAATTTTAAGAAAAAACTTATATTTACTTTCAAATGATTACGAAAATTAGTAATTTGTTTTTTAAAATTAGTTATTCGATCGATTAATCCAACAGATCAATATATTCTTAAGATGAACTGATTTAACATAGAAACTTTTTACGTGTGGATTTAATATGAAAATCTTGAGATGAACAATGTTTCAAGTTTTTGCCAATGTACTAACTCTAGAGAATTATCACTAATAATTAGTTAATTAGTGTTAATTACCTTGGGTACTTGCGGCCAAGTATCTCTTTCTGGCCATATTTTCTCCAAGTGAAGCCATCTTCTGGTGGCATCTCAGTGTTTCCAATTTGAGGTGCTGGAAACATCTGTGTTCTCTTCCCCAAATCATTCTTCCTACTAATGCATTTGAAGATACAACAATTAGTATAAGCAATCTACAATATGAAACATGAAACCTGACACATCAACACTGAAAGAAAGTATCGGTGTCAGATTTAGACACAGACACAAATACAGACACATATTTTTTTTTAGAGATATCGGTGTGAGATAAGAATTTAATATTAAACAAAAAAATTAACAATACCTTTTTTTCGGTCGTGACGATGATGGTGGTGCTTCTATTCCTTGAACATCAGCACCACCACTTATCATCTTATTCTCAAGCAAAACACTCACATCAAAAGGGTGTTGCATTAGAAGAAATTGATCCATTGGATCTGCATGCATGACTTGATCATGCTGTTTTTTCTGCATGAAAACATCATGAGACAGAATTTGACCAAAGGAACCAGAACCTTTTGCTGTGTTATGTTGTGAAGATGACGACGACAACATCATCATTACTCTTTCTTTGGCATCACTATACGCTTTTTCTACCTCATGAATGGATAAATATAGAATCTCAGGGTTGTTGGCCATGTTGGGTAATTCTAGTTCAAGATTTTTTGCCAATTCAAATGCATGCATCATAAAACTCATGGCCTCTTCCATCGCTAGCTTCCCGGGAAGTTTAAGATTTGTTTGGTGTTTTTGAACTCAATGTTTGAAAATATATAAAGTGGTGGTTGGTTGCTTAGAAAGTGTAAAATTTCCTAGTAAGCTTCTACGTTGGTTCTTGTCTATATAATGTGAGACATATATATATATATATATATATATATATATATATATATATATATATATATATATATATATATATATATATATATATATATATATATATATATATATATATATATATATATATATATATATATATATATATATATATATATATATATATATATATATATATATATATATATATATATATATATATATATATATATATATATATATATATATATATAATAAATGGGAATATGAGGTGCGTGGAAAGAAAGACTTAGTCATTTGGTCTAATGGAGTTGGAAAGTTGTCAAATGGGTATTTGTTTTTTGTTTTTATTTTGGTCTTAGAGGAGACCATGATGCCCCATTGAAACCGTTTCATTCATTGGACACTCAATTTGAAGAAATTTCAAACTTTGAAGAAGTGACCTGAAAAGAAATTTTCCTCTTTTGCTACCAATTCTTCTAAATTAGAATTTGAACGTTTATTAAGCGCTTCATTTTAACTTAAGTTCTGGGAATCATCCTTTTTTTTTTAAGTTACAGTTCATTAATTTTGCATGAGACCATAATTAAAGAAAATTTTATTATTCTGATTATCAATAATAATAGTAGTAATAATTTGACGCATTCATGTATTTGAGGTTGGAGTTTAACAATGAACCTCTATTTTGCATAAGAATTAAAGAAGATGAAGAACATTTACAGAGAGAGAATGAAACTTAACTAACTTTTTTAAAATGCAAAATCGGTTTATTATTCTGTTACAAATTCAATTTCATTTGTGTTTTATCATAACTCAAACTCAAATGTATATTAAATGCAAACTCAAATTTAAATATAAATAAAATTTAAAAGAATTTAATTGATATACACTGACAGTATAAAATAATTTTACATGGCCAATCTGCCATAATTTTACTTCAAAATTTATATATTCTAAAAATCTTCAAAATTATTATTTTGATTGCTAATATTACTAAATATTTCACTATAAACAATCATTCAATCGAATATCCCTCATACAATTGCACATTACACTACTCTAACTATACTTTTAAATGATAAAAAAAATTAAATAGTTGCATTGCTACCAAATATCAAACAAGCAAACAAAATATTTCTACAAACTTGTGCATGTTGATGACAAAAATAAAATTGTGTAATCATAAGAGGAAGATATTAAAAAATGATTTACATTGTTATAGTAAAATGAAAATAATCTATAAGTCAATGAGAAAATAAGAGTATAGTTAAGTGAGAGTGTGTGGAGATTTTAATTGAAGAATAAAACTACCTACAAAAGCATTGTAAAAAGGAAATTTAAATAGTATAAATTTAGAAAATAGAATAACAAGTTTTTTTGAATAGATAAATGTAACTCAACAAAGTTAATGGGGCTGAATACAAAATACGTTAATATTATCCATTAAGAATTTCAATTTTTGTGTGGAGGTTTGAAGTGTTCAGTTGTGATTATTTTGATCAACACATCTGTAAGTTATTTTTTAGTGTTGACATGAACAACCTCAAATATACCATTTTAAACTTGATTGTGATGAAAATAATACTTAGTATCAATGTGCTTGCTTCTTCCAGGTAGGACTGGATTCTTAGTAAGACTTATGGCAAATTTGTTGTCAACTATCAATCTGACTGGCTTGCTCACTTTAAACTTTAGTTCTTACGGCAAATTCATCATCCAAACAACCTGACAAGTTGACAAAGCATCAACTATGTATTCACCTTTACAGGTTGACAATGCAACCACTGATTGTTTCTTTATACACCATGAAATAAGAGCTCCTAGATACATGAACATGTATCCTGTAGTGCTTCTTATGTCCACTCTATCACCACACCAGTTAGAGTCTGAGTAGCATATCAACTCAGTAGCATCTGACACTCCAGATGGAAACAAAATTTCATGTCTATGAGTCCCTTTTACATACCTCAGAATCTTGACTGCAGCTTGATAATTTGACCACTTTGTGAAGGTGAGAAAAACACTTAGAAGGGGGGGGGGGTGAATAAGGGTTTTTAAAATAATTTGGATGATAGAAAAGTAACACAGTATTTTTATCCTGTTTCGTTTGAACTCAAACTAATCCAGTCCACCCTACCAAGGTGATTTGCCTTTCTCAACAAGGACTTAATCCAATATATCAAACTTGATTACAGTGTAAACCACTAAGTCAACTGTCTTAGTCTTCTCAAGAAATTCTGACCACAACTTGGTCTTCTTAAGGAAATCTTTTACAAAGATAAACTAACAAATTTGTGTTTAAGTAATGCTTTTAAAAAGCTATATCACAACAGTGATATTTACACAAGTTATAGAACAAAAATAAACTATTCAAGCTTTTGAAGAACGTTTGCAAGAGTTGGATAATATACCAAGAATTTGTTTGAAGTTCGTTAACCTATGAAGTGATGCTTGGACTTGCTTTTATAGTACTTTGAAATCCTTTCTCAAAGACTGTGCAATCTGTGCATTCTTTTCTTTTTGTCTTCTACTGACTTTTCCTTTCTCAGAAGAGGAATGTTCTGACAAATCCTTTTTGTCTGAAATCCTGTGTCAAGCACGAATGGGGAAAGAGCCGTTTAGGATAAGACAAGGAATATACTAACGTATCTTTATTTGAACAACATCTTCTTCAACAACTTTGGAACGCCTTGCATCAGAACTTCTGATGATGTTCTTAGTTGTTCAGGTCAGAGTTAACTCACTCAGAGTTTCTCTATCAGAGTTTGCAGCAAAGTGCTTTAAGCGTGAAATCTTTATCAGAGCATACTTGCTTATCAGAACTTCTGTACTTGCAGCTTTGAGTACTTCCAGAGTCTTCTGAAGCTTTACGTATGTTCTTTGCTCAGATTGTTCTTAGCTTCGCTCAGAGTCATTGTAGCATATCAGAGTCTTCTGATGTGTTGCTTCTGACGCTCAGAGCTCTCTCGTTCTAAGGTGTTCAGTGGCGTTCTTGCTTCCAGAATAATATTAATTTTGATATCTGAAACAAATAAACACTTGAATAGAAATTAGTGTATATAAATTCTCTATACAAAATTTCATTAATGTTATCATCAAAACAATGAGATATATTGAACATCAATCTGTGTTCTAACAATCTCCCCCTTTTTGATGATGACAAAAACTATGGGAAATTTTGTTTAAAATAGAAAAGAAATATTACTCCCCCTGAGAATATTAATCTCCTCCTGAAATGAATACTTCTGAAAAGATAAAATACTTCTCTTTCAACTTCTGTATTCTTTTCAGCTTTAGAGGAAACTTGCAGATTCTCAGACTTTTAGTTCAGAGTTAATTCTTAGCATTTATCAGATGAGAATTATTAGCTCTGAAAACACTCAAGAAATATGATTAGATAAACATTATCATGTATGAGTTTCCTTTGGTAACTGTTTATGTGAATTATCAAAATTACCATTTTCTCCCCCTTTTTGTCATATCAAAAAGAAAATCTTTTAAGAAAACTTTAAGACAGAAAAAAGTAACAGAAGAGAAACAATAAAGCAACAGATAAATTCATTCAGAAGAACATAACATTCATTCATTCAGAAAAGCATAACATCCAGATGCATTGATAAACAATATCCTAGACAAACAAACAAACAGACAAATATACAAGTGCACAAACAACACAGAAAAACTAAGAAGGACGAGAAGCCAGCATCCTCAGAAGATTCGTTATCTCAGATGTGGATTCTTCCTGTCTTGCCATCCATGTCTTGATTTTATTAGTTGTCTTCTCTTGTTTAACCATCCAAGATTTGATTTCAGAGTTGCTAGCCTTGAGTTCAGCAATCTGAGCCTACAGATCTGCATCTTCTTTCTTCACTTCAGAGGACGCTGTAGCTGATGCAGAAGCAGAGGCATCATGAACAACCAAAGATGCAGAAGCATCCTGAACGACCATGTCAGCAGATTGAGCAGAGTCAAGAGTCTCAGACGCAGGAGCAGAAACATCTGGAGCTACTACTTCAGAACTAACCACTGCAGCAGTCTTAGAGGCAACCAAGACTTCAGAGGGAATACACACGGCCTTTGCAGGTGTGTTTTCCAGAAGCAAAGTTGGTTTTCTGCTGACTCTCAAAAGAGTTTGTCTCACAGCCTCAGCAAATCTGAATTTGGCATCATCAGTGCAGATCTCTTGAAGATTGGAAGCTAAAGAATCAAATCTGGATTTGAATCTTTGCCAGATAGCCTCAGAATCATCAGGATTCAAACTTGACATGCATTCCTTCTTGACAGTTGACAGCCACATGTTTAATTCTTTTTAAAACCCAGCAAATAAGGTACTAACATCCAGCCTAGGTTTAGGTTTCAGATAGTTTTCTAGTGAAGGTGATTTGGTGGTTTCAGAAGTGGAGGGGATGGAAAAAGAAGGGATATAAATGACAGGTGGGTATGAAGAAGGAGTATGAACAAATGAAGGTTTAGTAAACTGAGGTTCAGATGGTAAAGATTCATTATCAGGGTCAGAAGGGATGGAAACAAAAGGTTTAGGTATAGATGAAATGAAATATGATCTATCAAAATCTGTGGAATCAGATGAATCTAAAGAATCAGAAGATTCAGAGGATTCAGATGATCCAGAGGGAACTGGATAGACAGTCTTAAGAGGTTGAAGATCAAGAACCATTGGTTCAGGATCAGATGGAGTGGTTTCTGTTTGTTGTTCAGAAGTTTGTGTTTCAGGTGGGGGAATTTCAGAAGTTTGGTTTTCAGATGGGTGTGGTTCAGATGTATATGGAACAGAAGTTGGGGTTTTATCAGGTGTAGGTTTCTAATGTATGTTGAAAGAGGGTGTGGATGGTACAGAAGATTGTGGTTCAGAAGGTTGTGGTTGAGGTTCAGAAGTT